GGGCGGGCACGTGCAAGCCACATTGCTCTTGAATGGGTCGTCGCAGTGGTGTCTTGACTGCAGGTGGAGTGCAATTGTGAGCCGTCTTGTCTGCGATGGGTGTGTGACAAGCTTGGGCATCTCAACGGGATTGCACCGCAGGGCAAGGGCGGGGCAGCGGCACAAGAGGCAGCGACAAGCTCAGCTGCGCAGGGGGAGGAGGAGGGGGGTGTCGAGGGCGGCGCGCCGCCCGCGGCGTCGCCCGCGCCCGCGGATGCATCCGGGGCGGCGCCGGCAGCGGTGGAGGCGGGGGCGCAGGGTGGGGTCACAGCGGCGGCCGAAGAGGCGGCGGAGGTTGCGCGAGAGGAGGGCGCGGCGGCAGCGGCGGAGGCGGGGGCGGATGCTGAGGTGGCAGCGGCGGCGTCTGACGGTGGCACCAGCGGCTGCGAGCTTAACGAGAGGCAGGGAGGCGGCAGTGGCAGCAATGGTGTGGGAGCATCGGTGGAGCGGCGCATCAACGAGCAGGGGCCGGGCGAGGGAGCAGCATGAGCAGCGACGCTTAGTAATGCAAGTGGGCCCTGGCCGCCTTGGCAGGGCGACCGCAAACGTGAGTGCATGCTCGCTCCACTTGAATGTGTGCCGCGCTAGCATGCGGTTTGATTCGGCAGCCAGCCGTTTCCCGCCCCATGCCATCTGCGAGGCATGGACACTCTGTTACGTTACGTGGCCTGACACATGGCCAGTTGAACGAAAATCCAGTTGTAAAGGAAATTAATTGAATTGCTGATGCAGGCAAGGGGCTGTGGCGCCCTCAATGTGCGCGAACATGTGGGTCAGGCAACTGAGCAACCGGACCGGTATGGGCTGCCAGCAAGGCACTTGGGCGCATCTGAGTGTGAACTTGAGCGTACCTCGAGCAAGGCAATTATTTTTCATGCTGTGTGGTTATGCATTACAGATACAACACAGATACCAAGAGCATGCACCATCCGACATACCGACAAGAGCACCGTTGTTGCAGCAGCTGCGCCATCAGGCGTTGCGACACAGTGGAGTAAGCAAGGCGTCTGGCGCGCCAACGCAATTGCTTGTCTACAAGTGAACATATTGATACGCTAGCTGTCAATGGACACCTTGCTTTGGCACGCTCTGACAGTACTGCCAGTGCAGATCAGTGCTGCTGTACGGATCCCTATACGAGGCGACATGAGGCTCTAATAACAAAAAGGCATAGCCAGTGACGTAGGGGTATTGCGGATGGCAACGATGCTAGGCTCGGCAGGCCTCCGGCAGAAGCCGGTGTCGCAGGCCCAGCGCAATGCTGAGACGCTGTTCGAGACCAAGAACGTGGTGGAAATCCGCGAAGTAAGAGGAGTACGGTCGCAGCTGCCCGATCGTGCACGTCGCTCGATGTCTGTGCGATTTGCGCCGCTGCCGCCCCCACCCATCACATCGCATCAAGCCGTTGGCCGTGTTGGTGATCGAGCGCAGCGCAGGGCCCACAGCAACGAAACCATTGTATACGCGCCATGCAGATTGAGGCGCGCACCCGCAAGGACATTGCAGACAAGAGCATCCAGCTGCGCCAGCGGGTTGGCGATTCACACAGGTGCACGGGATGCTTGTACAGTGCTGCTGCTGCTGCTGCTGCTGCTGCTGCTGCTGCTGCTGCTGCTGCTGCTGCTGCTGCTGCTGCTGCTGCTGCTGCTGCTGCTGCTGCTGCTGCTGCTGCTGCAGCTGCTGCTGCTGCTGCTGCAGCTGCTGCTGCTGCCGCCGCCGCCGCTGCTGCTGCTGCAGCTGTCGCTGTTGCTGCTGTTGCTGCTGCTGCTCCTGCTACACACGCCAGCCCCTTGCAAGTCACCAGCACCTCCCGAACTCCTCCTTTCCAAGACCCAGCACCCATCCCGCCATCGCCCTCCCAACGCGCACCACCCACCCACCCTTCTTCAAACAGGGACCTGATAGAAGGTGCCGACAAGATCATCGACATCGCCAAAAAAAGCGGGACCGTGCTCACTAATTTGCTGGCGATCCAGGAGAGCATCGCGGCGCTCGCGGTCGGCGCGGGCGGCGCGCCCGCCGGCGCGGCAGCGGCGGCCGCGGATGGCGGCGCCGCGGTCGTGAGGAAGCACTCTGACTTGCACGGTGGGCGGCGGTTGCAGGCGGCGGTTACAGCGGTTGGGGCAGCTGGACGTGCGTGCTTGCGGTCTTCCTGACAGGCGGCGCTGGGCTTCGTGGCCCTGCCGCACTGGCCCCATCCAAATGACCCACATAACACATGTACACACGCACGCGCACCATTGCACGTTGCTGCACATGCACACCTCCCCCACGCACCTCTCTCGTGCGCACCTCGCCAAACATGCACACCCGCATGCTGCTGTCTCTCACAGCCATCGGAGGGCGGGTCAAGTACATTTTAGATACCACCGAAGTGATATGGGGCAGCCTCGATTCATCCCAATACACCGACGCAGCAAAGCGCTTCCTGAGGGCCGAGCTCGTCCACCGGCAGCTGCTGGCCAGCTTCCCCCGGGAGCTTCTCGCCAGGTTCCCGCTGCTCGGCCACCAGTGGCCGCAGGTCCTGAAGTTCAGGGCCCAAATCTTGGAGGCCGCGGGCGCGGCGCTGGAGGGCGGCCGCGCGCTGCAGGGCGTCGGCGCCGCGGACGCGCTCGCAGCGCTGGCCGCGCTCGAGTCTCTGAACGCGGCGGCCGCGCTGCGGCGCCTGCTGTCCGCGCGACACAGCTGGCTGCGGGCGCGCCTCGCCGCTGCGGCGGCAGGGGCGGGGCCGGGCGGCGGGGATGCGGCGGCGGCGGCCTCGGCGCCAGCGGGGGCGGCGGCGGCGGTGCTCTCTGAACTGGCGCGGGCGGTGCAGACAACCATCGCGCAGGTCGAGCA